GTTACCCACTTCCTCTGGTAGCTTGTTCCATACGTGCATCACCCTCTACAAGAAAAAAAATTGCCCCTCAGGTCCCCATTGAACCATTCACCTCTCACCTTAAACCTATGCCTTCTAGTTTTGGACTTCCTTACCCTGGGAAAAAGACCTTGCCTATTCATGCCCCCCATGATTTTATAAACTTCTATAACATCACCCCTCAGCTCTGACGCCGGAAAAATAGCACCAGCCAATTCAGCCTCTCCCAATAGCTCAACCCCTACAATCCCAGCAACAACTTTGTAAATTTTTTCTGAATCCTTTCACGTTTAACAGCATTTTTCCTAAAGCAGGGAGACCAGAATTGAATGCAGTATTGCAAAAGTGGCCTTACCAAATGTCCTGTACAGCTGCAACACAACATCCAAACTTGTAAAGTCAGTGCACTGACCAATGAAGGCAAGTGTGCCAAACGCCTTATTCACCACTGTCTACCTGCGATTCCACTTTCAAGGGAACTATGCTCCTGCACCCCTAGGCTTCTGTGCGACAACACTCCCCAGGGCTCTACCATTAAGTGTAGAAGTCCTGCCCTGGTTTCCCTTACCAAAATGCAACACCTCACATTTATTTAAATTAAACTCCACCTGCCATTCATAGAATCCCTAGTGTGGAAACAGGCCCTTCGACCCAACAAGTCCACACTGACTCAGAGCATCCCACCCAGACCCGTCCCCCTATAACCCACCTAATCTACACATCCCTGAAATCTACGGGCAATTTAGCATGGCCAATCCACCTAACCTGCACATCTTTGGACTGCGGGAGGAAACCGGAGCACCCGGCAGAAACCCACGCAGACACAGGGAGAAAATGCAAACTTCACTCAGATAGTCGCCCGAGGATGAAAGGACTCCTCAGCCCATCTGTTCAAGATCCCTTTGTATTCTCGGAGAACCTTCTTCAACCAGTGTATTGTTCAGACCCACAGGCTGTGCTGCTACCCAGGAACTAGAGTTTGTCAACGGGAGCATCTTCAGCATCCACAACTGGTCAGCTGTTACCATCTGAATCTCACTTTGTATATCTCCCCCCGTGTCAAGCTGTCTTTGCTTATACCTTCCTCCGTTGCTGCAAAGCCATGTAACCTTGATTCTCAATGCAGTCCAGTAACATGTCTTTTACAACAATTCCTTCCTCAGTCTTTGTGGAGGAGTCCTTCCAATTTTGTAAATTTGAACACAACTGCATCATTGACACTTTCCTTGTTAGTTACTAAAGCAAAAGCAGTTTTAGCAGATTCAGAGATTAGGGCACAGCAGAGGAAATTTACAAAGCACAATAATAAACCTAAGAATGTGTTTAGCACAAAAATGCAACAAACATCCCCCCACCCCAACCCTTGAAGTCTAACAATGATCTGAAAGGTAAAAGGTAAAGTTGCTACAGTCCTACTGCACCATTGGCTGCTCTCTCTATATTGAGACACACAACTCATGGTGGTTTAACCACGTTTCAGGCAAGGAGAAAAACATTAAGGACGGCTCATCATGGTAACCTCAGCCAGTGAGAGAATTGAACCCATGCTGTTGATATCAATCTGCATTACATATCACCCATCCAGCCAATTTAAAAGGCAAAACTCCACAACCTCAAATCAGCAATTTCTCATCCCTGCACTTACTAACACAGCAGCTTTCTTCCCAAACTCCTTTCCCATGCATGCACTAATTCAGCAGCTTGGCCTCTCCAACAGCCTCCCCAGGATCTCATTGGTCTTTGGTCACCAGCCCATTGTAACTAAAAGCTGCCAATGAACAATACTGAATATCCATAGCCTTTTGATCCTAACACATGCTAGGCTGAAAGATAATTCTGTATTTATTTTACTTCATGGTTGTTATTAGTTGCTACTGCAACTAATAAGGGAAGAAAAGTTTCACTGCACGAAACAAAAATGGATTACCTGTTCTGTTTCACACAGACTTCCACATGTATTTGCATGGATTCAAAACACGGTAAAGCTTGTTTTAATTCTCCAGCTGCTGCATCCATTTATAATTACTAAAAAAAAGTGAAAAATCTAAATAATTGATTGAAATTATGTCATTCTTATATTCATTTTCAGTGAGATCAATAACTGACCATATGTTTAGGAAAATACATCACGTTATACCCCAAGTACACACACAAAATAAATTTACATCAACAATTGAGAAGGTTGGACATTTAGATAGAAGAATATTATGGATGTTCACTTCTCAAATTCCAGTCATTTAAGAAACACAATGTTTGGATTGTCAAGCATTTCAGAGGTTGCGGTTTATTTAAATAGCCAACAAGTATTCTGAAATTGTGAGATTAAGCTAATATATCACCATATATCTCAAAATATGATTGCCATCAGGACTTGAGAACTCAGATTTAGGACTTATTCACCATTGAGGTAATAGTACAAAAGAAAAGCACTCTCAAAACATTCTAGCTATAACAATTTAAACAAGACAAATCAGCAAATAAAACTTACAAGGTCAAAACTAGTGAGTTGCTCAAGGGTTTTAAGTCATGTATGATCCATGGGCTGTAAAGACACCAATAACCAATTTGAAAAATTTACAATTCTATCGATTACAACTCTGAATTAACTCAAGACACTGCAGCTACATCAAAGCACTAGTCACCCTGATCGTTAAAACAGTGCTGGCAAAACGCAGCAGGTCTGGTAACATCTGCAGAGAGAGAAACTGCGTTAGTTCCTGGAGTCCCCTATGACTCTTCTTCGGAACGGCCTGTTCGCTTGCCCACCATGGACTTGAACTTATGTGCAGCTGACTCCCCCAAACAAATTCAAGGAAGGCTGCTCCAGATGGAAGATGCTTTTACCGCGGAATGCACTTCTATGCCTACGAAGCCCATTTGTAAGGTCATCACTGCTGTTAAGTGCGGGAAACACAGCAGCCAAACTGACATGCCGCGGAATTCCACAATCAGTTAAGAAAATGAATACGTTACAACGACCGTGTCTCCCGAATTTCCCGCAACTCTTCCCTCACACCCCCTCCCCGCAATAACAACCAAAACAGAATCCCCATCGTCCTCACGTTTCACCCCACCAACCTCCGGATCCAACACACCATCCTCCGACACTTCCGTCATCTGCAATCCGATGCCACCACCAAAGACATTTTTCCCTCCCCACCCTTATCTGCTTTCAGGAGGGACCACTCTCTCCATGACTCCCTTATCTGCTCCACACACCCCTCCAGCCCCACCACACCCAGCACTTTTCCCTGCAACCGCAGGAAGTGCTACACCTCCCCCCTCACCCCCATCCCAGGCCCAAAGAAGACTTTCCACATCAAGCAGATGTTCACCTGCACATCTGCTAATGTGGTATACTACATCCGCTGTTCCCGTTGTGGTCTCCTCTACATTAGGGAAACCAAGCGGAGGCTCGGGGACCGCTTTGCAGAACACCTACGCTCGGTTCGCAATAAACAACTGCACCTCCCAGTCGCGAACCATTTCAACTCCCCCCTCCCATTCCTCAGACGACATGTCCATCCTGGGCCTCCTGCAGTGCCACAACGATGCCACCCGAAGGTTGCAGGAACAGCAACTCATATTCCGCTTGGGAACCCTGCAGCCCAATGGCATCAATGTGGACTTCACAAGCTTCAAAATCTCCCCTCCCCCTACCGCATCCCAAAACCAGCAGAGCTCGTCCCCGCCTCCCTAACCTGTCCTTCCTCCCACCTATCCCCTCCTCCTACCTCAAGCCGCACCCCCATCTCCTACTTACTAACCTCATCCCGCCCCCTTGACCTGTCCGTCCTCCCTGGACTGACCCATCTCCTCCCTACCTCCGCACCTATACTCACCTTTACTGGCTCCATCCCTGCCTCTTTGACCTGTCTGTCTCCTCTCCACCTACCTTCTCCTCTATCCATCTTCTATCCGCCTCCCCCTCTCTCCCTATTTATCTCAGAACCCCCTTTCCCTTTCCCCTTCCCCTCCCTCTCCCCCATTTCTGAAGAAGGGTCTAGGCCCGAAACGTCAGCCTTCCTGCTCCTCTGATGCTGCTTGGCCTGCTGTGTTCATCCAGCTCTACACCTTGTTATCTATGTTACAACGAATGTTGGCCACAATGCCCGGAGAAATTCCCTTGTCCATCACAGCACTCCAGCATTCCCTCAGTCAGCAGGGATTTTATGCTCAAACTTCTGGGGTGAGGTAAAAGGGTGTAATTACACAACTAAAGCGGAGGTTTTGAGGGAGAAGAATCTTCCCCAAATTCGCGCCCACCGATCTCTCCCACCATCTGGTCAATACCAGGAACCAGAGCCCTGCCCGATACCGGGTCCGTTTCTCACTCACAAGTTCCTTCAGCTCTCTCGCCGGCAGAAAACTCAAATCCACCGCCCGCCACAGCACAACCTCCAGACTCTCCCGCGTCACATCCGGTAGCAGGTGGGACCAGTGCCGGAGAGACCTTCGTGATTGGCGAACGGCATCCGCTTCTGTCACTGTCATTAGCCGACCGGCACGTCAATTACCTTCCAGCACCGCCTTTGCGCTCCGGAAGTACTGCCGTTTGGCTGTGACCGCCTGACACTCACCCGCCCCGCAACCGGATTGGTTGCGGTCTGCGGGCACCGTCGACAGACTCTCGAGGGAAAATTTAGCGAAGGGGAGGGGGTGGGGAGGAGAACAAAGTTGACAAGTTTCACCAACCGAGGGATGGGAATGATTGGGAATCGTTGAACCATACTTTATCGGTTTTAAAATCGGTCCCCTCGGGAGGTTTCCTTCACCTACCACCCCCCAACCAAACTCCTAACAGGAAGCAGACGCCAGGCGATTGCTTGCTCCCGTCAGCGAGGCGCCGTTGGGCGCGCGGGGCTGCGCAGAATCGGCGGCTCGAGACGAGTGCGGTGGCTGATGCCCGGACATGGGGAAGAAGCACAAGAAACACAAGTGCGAGTGGCGCTCCTACGATGGTGAGTGAAGGAGGAAGGGATGCCGCTGCCAGCATGGCTTTCCCTTCCAATAATGTGTGCGAAGAACTGCGGGGCCCAGGCGGCGGGCGTCCAATTAGGAGGACCTGATTGGGGGCGGGGCTGCCTGGTGTGGGGGGAGGGGCGCTCCCACCTCTTTCCATTCACCTCCCGGGCAGAAACGAAGTGTTTTCTTGCTCCCTCCGACTTTTCATTCTCAATCTTTTGTTGCTTCCTCTTCTCTCCGTGTGTTTTTTTTTCAAAAAAGAATTTTGCTTTTGCTTTCGTTCTCCCAGCCCTGGTCAACTAGCGCTCAGGGCACCAGCAGTTGTTGATCGTAGAATTGTCGTGCAGAACTGGGAGATAGCAAGAACTGCAGATGCTGGAGTCAGAGACAACACAAGTGTGGAACTGGAGACCCGAAACGTCAACTTTCCTGCTCCTCTGATGCTGCCTGGCCTGCTGTGTTCCTCCAGCTCCACGTTGTGTTGTAGTGCAGAACTGCCCTTGTTTCTGCTTCTTAAGAACCTCCTGCCATCTATTTCAACATCATCTATTCCCAGCCCCCTCACATGTCTCTACTTTTCCCCTCAAAGACATCAATTTGATAACCCAGTTACTGAAAGGCGACTGAGTTTCACTCACTGATCACCGAGTAAATGCGTTTCTCCTGAAAACTGAATTTAGTAGTGATAGTCTTCTGTTGAGGATCCTGATATTAAATTCCCTTTATAGTTTTGTTTTACCCTACTCTTGTTTGGGTTAAAATATTTATCAATACTTATTGATTCCAAATACTTCTCTAGGTCAATAATTTTCAAGGCTGAGGCAGATATTTAACCAACAAAGGAAAATCAAGGGTTTTGGTGAGGGGTGGAGGGTAAGACAGGAATGTAGAGTTGAAAATTATCAGCTCAGCCATGATCGATCGCATTGGATGATGGAGCAGACTCGATGTACTGAATGGCCTACTTCTGCTCTGATATCTTATGATCTTGAATACATCACACTGATTTGAAAACTCCTTATAAATTTAAAGTTGCAGTGAGATACATTTAAAATAGTTTTCAAACTTTTTCTGAAATGTATTTGCACAACAATATTTAGATTGAAAATTATTTGGAGAGAAAATGGCAAGTCATAAAAGAACTCTTCAGTTGTAAGAAAATTGGAATTTAAGGGCATGAAATCCACCAACACTGCTTTATTACATTGAAGTGCTGTTTTAAGCAGCAGCTTTGATTATAGTTGAAGTATTTCAGACTAAACTAAGCCACAATGAAAATGTGTCAAAATGTTTCACAGGTTGATTTTTAAAGTTATACTGTAGATTTTTGTTCAATAAAATGTGGCTCTTCTGTTCAGATAATCATTGCCTAATGCTAACACTACTTGGCAATTTGAGGAGGCAAAGTCAGTCTACTTGGGCATGAGAGCAGGTTGATGTGGTATTATCATCGCTATGAGCCAGTTAAAGCTCCACTTGTATTTCAGCAAATACAGCAGTACATAGCAAATCAGTGCTTGTTTATAAGATGTAGAAACATAGAAAATAGGAGCAGAGGTAGGTCATTCAGCCCTTCAAACCTGCTCTGCCATTCATATGATCATGACTGATTGTCCAAATCAGTACCCTGTTCACGCTTCCTCCCCATACCCTTCGATCCCTTTAGCCTTAACAGCTTTATCTAACTTCTTGAAAATATTCAATATTTTGGCCTCAACCACTTTCTGTGACAGAGAATTCTATAGGCCCACCACTCTCTCAGTGAAGAAATTTCTTCTTGTTTCCTAAGTGGCCTAACCCATATCTTTAGACTGTGACCTAGAACCCCAGTCAACAGGAACATCTTCCTGTGTTTACCACATTTAGTCCTGGTAGAATTTTATAGTTTTTTTGTAGTTTTATATGTCTTCATATCTTCCAGATGAAATTTAAACTGATACACAAGGTGGGAAAGAATTAATGGAATTTTTCCAGGAAGAGAAGGGCTGCAATTCTAGTTTCTAGGCCCATGGTTATCAGGACAAACAAGAATGGATCACCCAGTTATTTGTCTCATTGCTGTAGGTGGGATGCTTTTGGATGTGAACTCGTAGCTATATTTACATTCAAGACAGCATAATTAATATTCGAAAGTAAGTAATTGATTTGTTTTTTTACTCCTTCTGGTGGAAGACCCAATCCTGTCACAAAGAGGGGAAACCTACAAAGGAAGGGAGGGGAGGATACAAAACAACTTCTACAAAATTCACAAAAATTAGATTTTTGAAGAACAGTTAATCATTGATTATTAATAACAGTCTCTGTTTTACTGACTAGCTTAATTTAGACCAAATTCTTGCATAAATGTTGCAGACCTTTTCTTAACCATGTATGTGAGATGTATTTCCTGTTTCATTGCAGGCTTTGTTGATAAACCTCCTGAAAAGCCACTTAAGCTGGTACTGAAGGTGGGGGGAAGTGAAGTTACTGAGCTCTCTGGTTCAGGACACGATTCCAGCTATTATGATGACCGGTCTGATCATGAGCGAGAACGGCACAAAGACAAGAAAAAAAAGAAGAAAAAGAAGTCAGAGAAAGATAAGCACATTTCAGATGAAGAACGTAGGAGAAGGAAGGTAAGTTGACATACTGCCTCTAAGAGCAGGAAAGTTGACATTTCGGGTCAGGGACCCTTCTTCAGAAATGGGGAGGGGTAAGGGAGCTGGGAAATACATAGAGAGAGGAGGGGTGGGGCAGGGGAAGGTAGATGGGATAGTGATAGGTGAATGCAGGTAGGGATTGATGGGGATTGGTCAGTGGGATGGGTAGTGCAGATAGGTGGGAGAGAAGATGGACACACCAGTCCCCTACCTGCACTTACCTATCACCATCCCACCTATCTTCCCAAGCCCACCCCTCCTCTCTCCATTTATTTCCCAGCTCCTTTCCCCCTCCCCATTTCTGAAGAAGGGTCCTGACTTGAAATGTCAACTTTCCTGCTTCCCTGATTCTGCCTGCCTTGCTGTGTTCTTCCAGCTCCACACTGTGTTGTCTCTGACACCAGCATGTGCCGTCTTTGCTATCTCAAAGCTGACATACTGTTGGTTTGGTCAGGGACAGTTTGCATATATGTACTGCCTTTAATCTAAGAAACTCAATACTCTTAAGTAGAAGTAGATGAATGATTGAGATATTGTTTGGTTTTGAGAAGATTTTAAAACGTAAGACATTGTGGGGCTGGAAGCTTTTAGCAGGGAAGCTCCACAATGTTGTGTCAAGGTGACTGCAGGTTCTGCCATTGATGTTGAGACAAGGGTACAAAGGATGCTGGAAAGGCTCAAAAACTGATGAGTGTGGCAGGGTTGTTGGTGTTGGAGAAGCCTGTTTGAAAGGTTGAGTAAGGGTGGTGACTAGAGGTAAGATGAGAATGTTGAATTTGGTGGAGTGAGGGTGAGCTACTCTAGGTCAGAAGAGTTGACAGATGAACAAGATTTATTCAGGTCATGATGTAATCTGCTGAACTTTACATAAGGTGAACCGTGAAGATTGGGAAGCGAGGCTGTATTAGCATAATTAAATAGAGAGAAATGAGAAAATTGATTAATACTTCAACCAGGGAAGGGTTGCAGTAGGAATAGAGGGACAATGCTGTTTTTGAGGAGAGAGCTGATATTTTTGGGTTTCTGTAATAGAGAAATTGTGTTTGAGGAAAATAAGCATTTTAGCAAAATCAACTTGAGAACTAATGGCTGTGCATTAGGAACTGATTAAGGAAGACTTCAAAAGGATATAAATTTGTCTTGTAAAAGCATTTAAGTGTTTTTAAAGTATAATAATTATGCTGCAGCTTTTACAGAACTATGTATCTATCCTATGTAACTAAAATTGAAAATAACCTGATTATGATGAGTCTAATGATTGTTAACCTTTATAAGCTTATATTAGAATTTGGTAATTTGTCTTTTTTGCATTTTATTATTTACATTCAGTATTTTTGTATTGAGGTTTTACTTTTGCAAATAAAATCCAATTACGGTTTCACGCAGAAATAAGCTCTATTGAGCTGGTCAAGTAAAACATATTTCAGCAACAAATCCACACTTTGTTGTTTAAGTTGCTTAAATTTTAAACTATTGATTAATTTTATTTCGTTCACTAATTCTCAAGTGTAGACTGTCCTTTGGTTTTGTTACCCTTTCTGGTAAGGGGACTGTTAAACAGGCAGAGAAAGCAATCGAGCAGTGACAGTTTGCATAATAAGCATGTAATTAACTTATTCTTGCTCTGATATCAGTAGATTTTAGCAACGTTAGTAGTGGATAAAAGTGTGTGTGCATTCCTCCATCCACTACCTTGGTATGATTTAGGATGTTTGAATGTTTCTTTCAGTACTGCTGAAAGCCACCTGCTTTTGAAAACATATAGATGTTGCAACAAGAAACAGGCTGTTAGGCCCAAACAGTCCAGGGCTTATTTTGCCCTGTGTGTAAGAAAACATTCTGATTCATATTTATTTGCCTTCTGTCCTTTTCTTTATCATATTCTGTGTCTAATTTTGAGTATTGATGTTTCAGACTTTGTATCTCAGTATCAGTAGCTTTCGATATGAATCTACAATCCCCCAACTGCCTACGTAAAGATGTTTCTTTGTTCTCAGTCCTACTTCTCCTGATTTGATCTTCAATCTTTGGCTCCTGGTCCTTAATCTCCCCAGCAAGTGGAAGCAATTTACTTCTATCTCTTAATAATTTTCCACAATTCTAATGTATTGCCCTGCAATCTTCATTCTAAAAACATCTTCAAGTATTGTTCATGGTTATATTTGCTTGTGCCAGGTGGCACTGTCATGTGTCTGCCTTATATGCTGTA